CAAACAAAATATATACGGACACTTTGCATGCAAATGACGGACGGCTGCAAGATCGGAATGGGCAAAAAAAAAACAAAACAAAAATGATATAACAATAATCGTAATACGTTGCATGCAAAATATACAGGACCCCACTGCTTCATTTGTTTCATTTTTTTGTTGTTTTTTTTTTGTTATTTTCCATGACTCGCCTCGTGCTTCTGGCAGTGATTGATGTCCACCTTTTTCATCCTTCCTATTTTGTTTCAATTGTATTATATTTCCTGGATGTTTCCACAAAATAAAAACTTATATTTCCTACGCTCTTGACTCTTGTCGCACAAAGCAAGTTTTCTCTAAAAAATGTTTCAAAATCATAGAATTATATTCTCACTGTATTTTGTACTTTTATTGTAAATGCGAAGAATATTTTGTCTCATTGGAGAGAAGAAAAACGAAATATAAATAAGAATGAGAAAGAATTGTGTTATTATTATATTTTTGTCACTGAAATATAAAACATTTAGAGAAATTCGATTTGCCGGTGATAATTATTTCACAGGTTATCGGATATCCAAACAAGTAGATTCCACTCGAAAAATAAGATAATTTAGAAACGTATCTTATGTTCATGTATTTTCTCCACTTTTCCTTTATTTTACTCTCATTCTTTATTCTTCTCGACCGACTTTTCTGGTCCACGTTGAGAGGAATTAGTGGAAGTAAATTGCGGCAATTACGTTGTGAAAGGTAGAACATAAAAATGTATTTTTATCTTTTCCTTCGACTTCTCATTTTTTTTTCCTTCGGCCGCGTATTTGTGTGGAATTTCATCTTGTCCCTCGCCACAGGGGATGAACTGTCGTTGTTGGGAGAAGCGTGGGGGGGGAGAGAGGGGAGGTTGGTGGCTTGCTTTGCAAAAGTAGAAGATGAGTCTCTTTTCCTTGGTATTAAAGGTGAAAACCGCACGTTTCGTTTCCTCTCCGACGTGTTTTACCTCCTTATTCGTCCACCCTTTTGGGGATGGAAGGGTCAGCCGTTCGGCGCCCGAGCGTAACGTAAGGTCTCCTCTTTAAGCCCCCCCGAGGTAATATTTTATATCGGGTCACGAGCTCAACTCCACGTCCTGTGGGGTTTTACACGTGTCCCGGCCGTTACGAGACACATCATGAACCAAATGCACCGAAACCGCAGCTAATTAAATTTCGAACTGCGCGCGCGTAATTCCATTTTACTTATACATTACGGCGCAGAAAACCGTCGAATATACAGGATGTTATCGTTTCACGTTCACTTAGAGCAATTATTGCCATCGAATTGGCCTTTCCATGAGGTTATTCATTAAAGATGCACGACACGACGAAGTTAATGCACGCCTCATGTCGGTCGACGCTCGACAATTTTAATACCAAGAATAATTTTTCATAAAGCTTATAATTAAATATCACAATTTCATTATTAAATTTAAATAAACTACACACAAATTACATTTTCTTAATTTTCACAACTTCAACATAACCATAAATTCAACATTCAGAGCCATACCTGCTCTGAATCACAGCAGTACTAAAACGTATAAACAATCCTCATATTTGTTTGTTTCTAATTTAACAAAGAGAAATAAACATTATTGAACAAAAATTTTATTTCATTTGAAATTTTGTAACAATATTTTTCATTTTACATGTTACAATTTTTTTAAATAATATTTGAACTTTGAATTATCCTTTTTATATAAAAATTGTGTTTTTCAAGCAAATTGAAAAATCTTCAATTACCAATGGATTTTCTATTTCAAATTGATTGTGCATATATAAAAAAGAAACAAGAACACGTTTTTTTTCTTTAAGTAAATAAAATCGTTTCTATAAGTTCATTTTTTGTTGGTATAAACCGAGGGTTGAAGAAATTGGGATATCTATACCAATTTTGTACGTCGTTATGTGGGAACGGTGACATGAATATTAAGTCCGCGCCAAAATTCATAAAATTCTCTCCCCTTCGAATAGATTTTTAGATTTTCCTCCTCTTTTCTCCAGGGTGAAGAAGGCAGGTTTTGTGTGTGGAAAATCTGAGGGGGATATCCATATTACTTTCAGTTTTCTGAACTTTCTGCTTGGGCAAAGATTTTCTCTTCACAATTGTGTCACGTTTCCTTATTGGAAACATTGGAAAATATAGCGTCATAGTGAGAAAATGTTTATATCATTTTTTTTTGCAATTTTGTTGTATTTGCAATAAAAAGTGAAAATATAAAAATTAAAGTATGTAAAAAATAAAATAAAGAAATAAGGAGGTACGAAAATAAACATGTTTCGTTCTTCCGGGAAATAAAATGGGAAATTGGGAAATACTTTCAGTTTGAGTGTATCTTTTATATGAGCGTGGAAAGAACAAAAAGACACGACGAACTTTTCCCCGTAAATAAATGAGAGATTCAAGTTTTCCAGAGTAAAAATAAATATATATTTAAATATATTCTTGTTCAATAATGCAGCAAGTAGATTTTTCAAACATGAACCAAAAGTTTTAGCAAACTGGATTTGCTAAAGTTTCCAAATATTTCATACTTTTTCTTTTCAAATAATCTCAACTTAAAATATATTTTTCTTATTACCTTGACTTTAGAAAATCAAATAATTTCAATGCTATAAAATGTGTAATTAGAATATATGTATTTTTATGCGAATATTCACGGAATTTAAAATGTAATTGTTACGTAAAATTCGACTTTATAATTGGCATTATCTGTGAACACTTTTATTCCGATGCGATGCAATAATGGTAAATGTATGGGCGAAACATTGTGGAGCCAACAATCGCGTGATTTATTTGCTTGCACTGGGAATTTATGAAAATTTTGCAGCGCAACAAAAACCGACGAGTTTTCGGGCGAACAATTTACGTAATTTACGATCCGCATCGGCGCAACATTGTCTGTTTATGGTTGCACTTTGTCTATGGTACATTTGTTTTTGCTCTGCATGCATCACGTACAGCAATTTGACATTGACACATCATAAATAAAAGTTTAGAAAATAGTCAATAATTTAATGTAAATTTAAAAAAAAATGTATAATTATAGCTGTAAACTATTGATCTTGTATGATGTTATAAGCTTTAATTAAGTTATATTAAATTATCTTCCGAAGTAGTGATTCTCATCGGAGAGAGTGCTATTTCAGGAAATTGAATGACCTAGCCTTTGCGATCTGTTGATTCCTTTGGGCCCTTAAGAATCCCTTTCTACGATAAGTTACAGTGTGTACAGAATGACTTTCTTAATGGTAAAACACTCATAAGAATCTAATTCTAGGCATTGTGTTCTAATAAAGACAATATCGAGGAGGGTAAATCCTACAATCAATAATCCGATAGAAGGAAATTAACATTGGGTGGAGGAGCCGGGTCAATGTAATATTTTTAACATTGATATTGAAATGCAGAAAAATCATAATAACCATAAATACGTCTATAAACTCATTTTATTTAATAAATATTCGACTTTAATATGTCTATTTAATAATATATTTGTTGTTCGTGGTTGTCAGGAAAATCGTTAAATACTAAAGACATTTTTTTTCAAATTTCTTATTGACTTTAATTAAAACGTTTATTCAGATAATCGTCTTTCGCGGTTATCCAGAAAATCGTTCAATACTGGAGATACTGCTTAAGAAGTATATTTCTCAAATTTGACAGCGAATTTTTAGAAAAATCTGTGAAAGTTGCAATTACATCCGTATACTTATTTTGTAATAATAATGTAATTAAAATTGGGCAGAGGAGCTGGGTAATTATAATATTAAAAATCTTTATAATTGTAAATGAAATATAATTTAAATAATCTTTAAAAAGTAGTAAATATTTCAGTGCTTTAGTTACAATTGGTATTCGATTACAAATGAAAAATTAATATGATCGATGAAAGAAAGAAGGTCTATCAAGTCTATCAAGATATTGCATTGGACTTTAATGAATGCTTTGGGCTATAATCCGAAGACAGCTCGAAGCCATAATAAAAAGGCGCTTAATGGCTCA